AAAGTTGGGCAGAGTGCTGCGGGGTTCCACTGAGGGGGAGGGGGAGAGGGAGCGAGGGAGACCAGAGCCCGAGGTGGGAGAGAAGCAGAAGCAAAGTGACCACCATCTGAAGGCCTTCTGGGTGCATTCCACACTCTCCCCTGTCTGCCCTCGCCACAGCCCTTGCGGGAGGGGAAACCCCTCCGGGAACGATTTTTCTCTCCTACACAGGAGGAAACCGGGGCTAAGATAGATCAAGGGCTGCACAGCTAACTAGTGGCTAAAATGGAATTCAAACTCAAGTCTAACAAAAGCTGGATGTTCTCCAGCATCTGACCCATCACTTGACCCCAACCTCTGATAAACCCCGTCTCACCTTGGCCTCACCTGCTTCTCCTCCAAAGCTTAGCAGAAGCCAGACAGACAGGAAATGAAGGGGATGTGGAGAGAGGCCTTCACCTCTCAGACAGACTGGGAGGGAGTGAGCGGGACCCCAAATGCAGGAGCCTGGGTGCGTCTTGTTCAGCCCTGAGTAGGTCAATCCTACACCTGCCGATCCAGATGAAGAGAGAAAAATCCAGACCTCCCCATTCCTCCCTGATTATGTCATCCAGAGCAGCACTGCCTAATAAAAATATAACCCAAGCTACATATTGTAATTATAACTGTCGAGTAACCACATTTTTAAAGGTAAAAAGAAAGAGGTGAAATTAATGAATAATAAGTTTTATTTAACCAAATCTTTCCAAAATAGTACTATTTCCACATGTAATCAACATAAAAAATTTATTTTTTATGCATGACTTTTTTTTTTTTGGTACTAAGTCTTCAAAATCTGATGTGCACTTGATACTTATCCACACCTCAACTGGGACTAGCATATGTGAATAGTGGCTACTGTATTGGATGGAGTAGATCTACAGGATATGAAAATATCCAAATGAATACAACCTCACTCTACATGATGCAAAGGGCTTTTTAACTATCATACCGGAAGGTTGATCTTTTTTGATTTACAGTTCTATGCATTTTTTTTAAAGATTTTATTTATTTATTTGAGACAGAGAGAATGAGAGACAGAGAGCATGAGAGGGAGGAGGGTCAGAGGGAGAAGCAGACTCCCTGCCGAGCAGGGAGCCCGATGTGGGACTCGATCCCGGGACTCCAGGATCATGACCTGAGCCGAAGGCAGTCGCTTAACCAACTGAGCCACCCAGGCACCCCAGTTCTATGCATTTTAACACATGTATAGATTCATGTAATCACATGTAACCACCACCATAATCAGGATATGGAGCAGTTCCATCACCCCCAAAAAACTCCTTGGTGCTCTCTCTTTACTGCCAAACCTTCCATCCTCCCCTAATCCCCTGTACAAATGGAATCATACAGTAGGTAACCTTTTGAGATGGGTTTTTTTCACTCAGCATGATCCCTCTTAGATTCTTCCTTTTTATTACTGAATTTTAGCACACTGTACGGATAGACCACAGTTTGTATACACATTTAGCTCCTGAATGACATTGGAATTGCTTCCAGATTGGGATGATTATGATCAGAGCTGCTGTAAATATGCAGACAGGTTTTGTGTGAACATGAGTTTTCATTTCATTTCTCAGGAGTGGGATTGCTAGGCCATGTGGTAACTGTATGTTTAATTTTATAAGAAACACCAAATTGTCTTCCAGAGTAGTTGAGCCATGTTTTATTCCCATCAGCAATGTGGGAGAGTACCAGTTGCTCTGCATCCTTCTCAGCGCTTGATATTGTCAGTATTTTAATTTTAGCCATTATGATAGGTATGTAATTGGGTCTCATTATGGCTTTAATTTGCTTTTCCCTAATGCCTAATGATGTTGAATATCTTTTAATGTGCTTCTCTGCCCTCCATATGTCCTCTTTGGTCATATGTCTGTTCAAGTGTTTTGCCCATTTTTAAATTAGGTTGTGTGTTTTTAAGGTCTTATATATACTAAATACAAGTCCTTTGTTGGATATGTGATTTGTATAATATTTTCTCCTAGTCTCTAGGCTGCCTTTTTACTCTTATACATTGTCTTTCACAAGCAGAAGTTTTCAATTTTATAATGTTCAATTTATAAATTTTCCTTTTATGGACTTTGCTTTTGTTGTCCTTAGTTAGACCTAACCCCAGGTCTCAGAGATTTTCCTCATATGAAGTTTTTGAACAATAACTCACATGTTTAATACCCAAGGGGTTGTAACTCCTTAAAGAAATTCAGCTATGGGTTTTAGTTGTGAAAATCTACCTTGTCATATGGATTCATTCATCCACTCTGCAGATATTTAATAAGTGGAAAGTCATGACTAGTAACGGAGAGATGATTAAAATTTGGTTCACAATAGTGGCTGCCATTAATTGAAGGTCTAGGGCCAATGGCCATATAAACATCCTCTATATCCTCCAATCTGGCGTTACTATCCTCATTTTACAAGAGAGGAACCTGAAGCTTAGAGAAGTAATTTTCCAGCCACACAGGCAAGTGACAGTAGAGTTAGGCTCAGCTAATTCCAAAGTTCTCAGGTGTGGGAGGGTTCTTTGCTTTCTAGCAACAGAAGACAGCTCTACCTGCCTAAGGAGGGGGGGGGGAGGAGGGGGGGAGAGAGAGAGAGAGAGAGAGAGAGAGAAAGAAAGAAAGAAAGAAAGAAAGAAAGAAAGAAAGAAAGAAAGAAAGAAAGGGAAAGGAAAGAAGGAAGGGAAGGAAAGGGAAGGAAGGAAGGAAAGAAGGAAGGGAGCAATCCACAGGTATTTCACAGAACCAACCCAACAGCTCAACCACCGAATCTTACAAGGGAAAAAAAAATTAAGGAAGTTCAGAGATCTAGGTAGCAGGAAACATATAGATGTTAATGTCCAGACATCCACCCCCTTCGAATGAAGCATCTTTAACTATTTTTAGCCCTTTCGTGTGTCCTCTCTAGATTCAAATTCCCTGGATCAATCATCACTGACCTGTCATGGGTCATGACACCATCTTTTGCCCAAGGAATGATGCAACACCTTGATTGATGGTCCCACCAAGACTATGTCCAAATAGGGGCACAGTCCCCTTTCCTTGTTGAGAGGTGGTTACATGAATAGCAGGGCTATTACTGCAGGAAAAAGGAAGAATGGATCCTCGGAAGATAAAAACCACAGAGGCCCACGTTGGCAATGTTTTCAAAATTTTTAACCATGACCCATGTTGAGAAATATATTTCACCAGAATGTGAATATATTCACACACAATTGAAATGAAATTTTCATATAACAGTGTGTCCCCTTACAATGTGTAGCACACTCAATGTGTAGAAATGGATGTCACAACTCCCTCATGGGTCACAACCTGCAGATTGGAAGCACCACCCTTACCATGATTTCCTTCCTCTCTCCATCCATGAAGACTCCAGAAGGGAAGTGAGACAGGGAAGGGAGGAAAGCCAGCAAAGGGTTCACGATGAGAGTGCTGTCACTGTGGCATCTGGGGCTCTGTCCCACAGGAGACCCTCTGAGAAACTGTGCAGAACATGCCTCAGGGCTGCCCCACCAAAAGGCAGGGAAGCTGGAGGGTTCATCCACCCACTGACATTCCTCCATGTGAAGGCAGTACCCAAACCATTAATTTCCCAATACTTCCAGCCTGCCACCAGGTGAGGGCCGAGCTCCCATGGCCAGAGAACCCCCCCAAGCAGAGAGATGCAGGAAGCTTTGGGCTGTATGGAAATTATCTTTAGATGACCTCTGGGTGGGTCAAGAGTATACAGGTTGAAGTCCTCCTGCAAGATGTAACTGGGAGGAAGAAGGACTAACTCAGAAAGCCATTGTCAGTCATAAACACCTGCCTCCCTTCCCAGGCCACACCACACGGTCAGGCACATCCTGACCCAACCCCCTTATTTCTAAATTCACCAAGTGTGTCCTGGGCTGGCTGCCTGCTTCCTGCTTCAGCACTGCTGAAGGAAGACAGGAAGTCTGCCCAGCTGGTTCACCGGTCCTACCTGGCCCCTCGGATTCTCAGCCAACGTCCCAGAGAATGTCTCGTTTCAGCCTACCATCTCTGCCACAGCATTTCAGTAAATATCCACCCTTGCCCTCCCCTTAGTTCCAGAAAAGAATATGGCCCTACTCCTGTCAAGGTGCCAATGAAAACAAATATCCAGGACTCAGGGAGGGATCCAGCGCACAAACCTTGATTAATCACCTGCTGTTTGTCAGATTAAAAGACAGAAGATAAACTGACTTTGGGAGTCAGGTCCAATGGGATGGGAACAGAAGCAGCACTAGGCACAGGGCGCAAACTCTTAATCAGCAATGCCTGAGGGCAGTGGGTCTTAACTCGGGTTGCAACAGTCACCTGAGGAGCTTTTAAAGAGTACTGATTCCCACCAGGAGATGGGGTGGATCTGAAGCATCCGAATATTTTTTAAATTCCCCAGATTCTAACACACAGGAAGTATAAGATGGGACAAGAAGGAAGAAATAACATTTCTTGTGGTGGCTTTCTTTTTGAGGTAACCTTCACATCTCATCTAATTCTCTCAATAATGCCACAGTAGCCACCCCCCCTTACCTGCAAGGGATACGTCCCGAGACCCCCAGCAGGTGCCTGAAACCAGTTAGTACCAAACTCTATATATACTATGTTTTTCTCTATATATACATAGCAATGATAAAGGTTAATTTATAAATTAGGCACAGTAGGGGCACCTCGGTGACTCAGTCGGTTAAGCGTCAGACTCTTGATTTCAGCTCAGGTCATGATCTCAGGGTCATGAGATTGAGCCCTGCATTGGGCTCAGCAGGGAGTCTGCTTTGAGATTCTCTCTCTCCCTCTCCCTCTCCCGCTCCCTGTGTGCTCGTGCTCTCTCTCTCTTTCAAATAAATAAATCTTTAAAAAAATAGAAAATAAATTAGTCACAGTAAGAGATTGTAATATAATAGAACAGCTATGACAATACACTGTAGTAAAAGTTATGTGAATGTGTTCTCTCTCTCAAAATATCTTATTGTCTGTACCCACCTTTCTTGTGATGATGTCAGATGATAAAATGCCTGTGATGAGATGAAGAGAGGGCATGACACAGACATTTTGACCCAGTGGTAGACTATTTTTGACTTTCTGTTAATTCATCAGGAGGATCATCTGCTTCCAAACCACCGTTGGCTGCAGGTAACTGAAAGTGCAGAAAACAAAACCAAGGATGAGAGGAAACTACTCTTTATGTTATGTATGACTGTACCCATCTCATAGGTGAGAAAACTGAGGCTGAGGGAAATCAAGTAACTCACCCAAGTCCCCAGTGTTATGAGCAAAAGCTCATGATAGAGCACCATCCAAGACTGAGTCCAAAGGCCATGACTCCTTTTACCTCACTATGCTATCCCGCCAGTAAAATTTTAATAAGATCAATGGTAAAAGGAAGGGAGAAGGAAAACATTTGAGATCAAGAGTGTCACTGGATAAATCAAGACCAGCCAAGGTAGGCAGGCGTGTGGGAAGGGCTCTGGGGTGCAGCGAGAAACCTGGGTACCTGAAGCTATTCGTAGCACCAGGAAAAATGAGGCAAAGCCACCAAAGCCGGGGGGGGGGGGCGGTTGCTGAGTGCCAGCTAAGCCTCCCCTGTCCCAATGTCCCCTGCGCCTGGCTCTGCTCTCAAGAAGGTACTGTGTCCAAAGTCAGCTCACTGGGCCATTTTCTCATCAGATCGGACTGTGACTTGGAACATCACAGCCGGCCAGCCCGGGGTTAATCTCCCTCTTCTCCCTGGCCTCCAGGCCAACTATGTTCAGCTGCGAGAATAAACCAACATCACAGCAGACAGCTTTTCCTCATTTCTGTCACGGATTTCTCTATTCTCTGTGGCTGCCTGGCTTTCCAGGCTCAGAGGCCCATCTGGTTGAAGGGATGTCCTGCTATTTACAGCCTCCTCTGGGACTGCTCAAAGACAGGAGAAACCCTATCCACTTCTACTCCTCTGTGTCTGCTCCAGGAAACTGAATTGTATTTAAGCATCACATTTTCAGAAGGAAAGGGAACTTCAGTCTGTTCTTTCTTGATGGTATGTTTCAGCAACAAGATGCCCAATAAATGAAGGCAATCCTCAAAAGGAAAACTTCAAAACCAAGATCTCCCTAGCACGCTGCGCTTTTCAAAGAAAATCCTGGAAAACTGCAGAGCTGGAAGGGACCTACAGATCATCTCGCAGAAGGGGAAGCTGACGGCCCACACGGGAGAGAGAGTCCCTTGCCCGATATCATGGCCTGAGGTGATAGCAGACCAGGGACTGGGACCCGGGGCTTTGGCCTCTTGTCCCCAGATGGCATTTTACTGGCAGTGACAGAGGACACACAGAAAAGCAGCACACAGAAGGTGGTCTCCCTCGGGCCCACCATGATCCATGCTGAGAAATATAATTCACCAACATACGCGCATATACACTCAGGACTGAAATGTGTGTATAGGAAGTAGAGCGGGTGCCAAGGAAAATACTGGATGAAAAACATGCAGGCTCAGCCCCAACTGTGAAGAAAACAAAGTGATCTTCACTATTTACCAACCCATCCCTCCCAAGTCGACTAAGCGGAGGGCCACCATACGACACCACTCCAGGGGGCATAACTCATGTCGTACTGTTAATCTGTATTTTCCAAAGGCGGAATAGTAAGAGCTGAAATATCAGCTATTATTTTTCTTGCTCTGCATTAACAGCAGGAACCAAGGCATTAATTGATAACTACAGGATTCATTAAAAACAAATAGTAACTTAAGAACAACCCCGGGAGACTTGGCTTTAAAGATTCCAGAGAATGAATCTATAAAAGCAAGTTAATCATAAAGATGTCTGAAGGAGAGGACACTCAGAAGGAGCCGACTTAAGCCCGCACCCACGGTGCCTCTGGTCGGCATTGTTCTCAGTGTTTTGTGTATGGAAAGTCTCACAACAACCCTACGACATAGGTACTGTTACCATCTCCCATTTCACAGATGGGGAAACTGAGACGTACAGCGATCAATTTGCCAGTCACATAGCCAGGAAGCTGTGATTCAAAGGCCCCCTGACACTGTGTGCTTGACTGTTTACAACGTCGCCCCTTTGTAGGGGCCAGCTTATCAATGTGACCTGCTATGGAGAGCTGGGGGCAATTGCCTCCTGCCCTATTTCTCTCCAGTTACTGCAGGTGCCAAGCATGAAGTTTGGGGGGTGGGGACAGTGAGGAAGCCATCCTGCTCCCTGTTCCAGGGAGGAGCCTGTCAGCGCTCTGCTCCAGGAAATCTGGGAAGGAATGATGATGTCCTCAGGGAGGCACAGGCCTGGACAGGAGTCCCAGCACCCGCAAATATCCACATGAGAGCCGCTGGGACTCCTCCCTTACCCCCAAGCCCAACCTTCTTCAGGGTAAGGAATCAAAGAAGGGAGAAAATGCTTTAGCCCCTCCCCTGGAGGCCAACAGAAAGGATTCAGAGTAACTTGAGACTCATCCAGCCCTCCTGAAGTCAATAGAGAGAGGAGATACTGTTTAATTCTTTCCTCTCTGCTATCTTGAGCAATTTCCTCAATGCTTCAGAAACTCCGTTTCTTCGTCTCTCCACTAGAGTTCCTGCCTGCCACACATACGTTAATGTACTTGAGTTGACCAGTTCACACAGTGCTTACCACCCACTAAAAGACCAAGCGAACCAATACGTGATGGTTTGCTTCTGCCCCTTTGGGATAAAAAGGACACAGTTAAATTCCTACCCCATGCTCGTTATTTTTCCTTACCGACAGTCCCCTGTTTTCATTGAAGGCTTCAATATGCCCAAATAAAAGGATCGCCTTCCCAGGTTCCTTTGTGAGTAGAGGTGGCCTTCAGTTCTGGCAAATGAGATGTAAGGAGAAGACTATTTGGCGGGAGGTGGCTTCCAGGACCTTAGTTACTCTGGAAAACGGGGAACAAGCTCAGCTAGCATTTCCCTTTGCCCTTCCCTCTTCTTCCTTCTGAAGGTGAAGCAGCCAAGTTTCCGCCATCAGGACAAAAACCATGGGCTGATCACAAAAACAGAGAAGGAGCCTGGGTCCTCAATAACATCCCAATGCTTGACTCCCTGCCTCTTGGTCTGTCACGTTAGAAAAATAAACCCCTTTCAGGTTTTCCATTATTTGTAGCTAAACACATTCCTAACTGATACTTACCAATTCCAGTCTAATATAGTGAAATAAACAAAATATAGAGAGAGCTGCGAGCACGTTTGCTCAAGGTCATATCATGAATTGATTGATGGCAAATCCAGGCCTGACGAGTATGTGGAGTCTTAAATTCCCACCCCAAATACTCTCCTAATAGACTCCATGCCCCATGAAAATCCTATTTATGTCAAGAATAGGAATGAGCAGTTATAAAATATTTATATGGAAGCCAGTTGTGCCCATCTCTAAGAACCTCCCATCTAGAAATTTAAGTAGCCAAACTTATTTTTGGAAACCATGGATTTCATTTAATCTGTGCAAGTGGCCTTTTCAGTCTTGGGGCAAATCACACATGAAGCTCAGAGGAGAAGCTGACCATCTACAGAGCCCGGCTTCGCCCCTCAGTAAACACAAGGAAGCACCTTTGCACATCACACCGTGAACTCTACCAAAAAGAGCTGTCTGCCTAAAATCTATCCTAGAGAAGATACTGAATTTGCAAAAAGCAATGCTTTTGAACCACTAATAAATGTTTTATAACCCGATCACTTAGGAAGTCAGGATTGAAAAGCACTCAAATATAATCTTTGCACAGCAAAATTGAGCTTAAGGATATCATCCGCCCTGGATTGTTATAATTTAATGAAAACTATTTGCTAGCCTTGAAAAACTCAATTAATAAAATCATATTCAAACACTCTTGTTGAGAATTTACATCTGCAGTAAAGCTGAAGGGTGTGAGCTTGGTCAGGAGCTCTGGAACTTTTAGATCCCTGGAAGAGGAAAGCTTTTTCCTTTCCTTGGGAAAAGTATGTCCTTAGAACTGTCCAGATGGATGTAGGTAGTGGTGCTTAGAGCTAATTCTGCTGCCAAGCATAGCCACCAAGCAGGATGGCTTCACAGTGATCCGCTCCCCCGCTTCAGTGGCCTTGGCTGTGCTCATGTCCCTGTTTCCCAGGACAGATCCAGGTTGTCCAGCATAAAAACATGCCGCCCAAACTGTGCCAGATTCTCTCTCATGGGAAGTCAAGACGTAGACAGTAAGTCATAGTGATGGGGCTGGCAGCAAATGAGAAAGTGAGCCCACCGAATGCTGCCCCTGAGGTCCCAGGGGTTTGTCTAGTTCTTATCCTTCCTGGGATGGTCTGATTCTGTGAACTCTCCCAGGGCTTTCCTAAGCAATACTTCATTTTAGGGGCGCCTGGGTGGCTCAGCTCAGTTAAGAGTCTGCCTTCAGCTCACGTCATGATCCCAAGGTCCTGGGATCGAGCCCCATGTCGGGCTCCTCTCTCAGCAGGAAAACTGCTTCTCCCTCTCCCTCTGTCTGCTGCTCCCCTTGCTTGTGCTCTCTCTCTCTCTCAGTCAAATAAATAAATAAATAAATCTTTAAAAGAAGTACTTTATTTCAGGGGTGCCTGGCTGGCTCCATCAGTGGAGCATGGGACTCTTGGTCTCAGGGTCATAAGTTTGAGCCCCACCATGGGTATGCAGCCCACTTAAAAAATAAATAAAATAAAAATTTTTTTAAAAAGAAAGAAATACTTCATTTTAAACTTGAGCTAGATGGAATCAGTTTCTGTTGCTTAAGGAAAAAGTGTCTTAGTGAATACACCTGACACTCTTGTGCACTTATTTATTTGTAGGGTCACAGAGTCAGAAAGACCAGCTCCTTCCCACATCCAAACAGAAATAAGCCGTCTTAGTCTTGGGCAAATAGGAGGTGACAGAGAGTCTCTACCTTAGTGTCTCCAGGCCTCTCGGGAAAGTAGTTCAGACATCTGCCCTCCTACTCTAACAGCGGAACCCCTCTTTCCCAGGTCCTTTCTCCTACCTGTTGGGGTACCAGCAGTGTGGCAAGTGGTTCAGGGTGGGGGCTTTGTAGCTGGACCCACTGAATTGGGACCCTGACCTTGCTGCTTCTAGCAGTGTGACCTAGACTAGTGTTTGACCTCTCCCTCAGTTTCCCCATCTAGAAAGAGGGGAGGTAACCACAGCACTTACCTCAG